CAGGTTCTGGGGTGGGGCTGGGGATGAGAGGTTTGGGGGGCAGGAGAGTGCTTCAGGCTGGGATCGAGGGGTTTGGAGAGCGGGAGGTGGATCAGGGCTGGGGCCGTGGGGAGAGGCTGAGGGGTGCAGGCACCAAGCGGTGCTTACTTCAAGTGACTCCCAGAAACAGTGGCATGCCCCTTCTCCGGCTCCTACACAGAGGTGCGGCCAGACGGCTCTGCATGCTGCCCCATCCGCAGGCACCACCACTGAAGCTCCCATTGGAGCACCAGAGGGGGCCATTGGAGCACGTAGGAGCCGGAGTGGGGCCATGGTGTGGCTTCCGGGAGCTGTGTGGTGCAGCCCACGACCCAACGCCCTGGCCGGACTGGGGCAGAGCTGTGTAGTGCAGACTCCAACCCCGCTCCCCAGCAGGAGCTTGCGGGCCAGCTTAAAATGGGCCGGCTTTAAACGGGCAGTAGTTTGCCCACTCCTGATTTAAAGGGATGCGACCCAGTTCCCATACACCACGGAGAGTTTTGTTTCCAGTATCCAGGGATCTGGCCAAAGCGAAACATGACAGAGAGGACATCAAGGGCAAGACCTACAAGATCCTGGATAACGCACAGAAAGGGAACAGTGAGATGCACGCCAGTCTTGATTGGCCTGGAGTCGCCTTTGTTTGGCTATCCAGAGAACAGGGACCTGCTCATTCTGAGGCTGATCTACTTGCCTTCCACTCTTTTGGGATTGTCCTGCTGGCCAGTTGCCCCCCCCCCACCCCCCCCCAGCGGCTACTGCTGCTGTGGGAGGACCCTGCTGGTATGACCCTCAGAGAGGAGTGCGAGGCCCCACTTTTGTCATCATTTCTGGGGCCTCCCCTGGCTGGGTTGCTGCTGCCCTTGCTTCTGGGGAGCTGTTACTGCTGCTGGAACTGAGGAGGGAGTAGAGGAGGCCTTGTTTTGTGGAGGGGGTTTGTTACATCCTTGCTTCTGTGGTGGTAGGTGCCTTTGCTGTGGGGAGCTGGGGGAGTGGCCCGGAGCCCTCCCCCTAGTCCACCCGCTCCCCTACTGCCACCACCACTGCCCCCTCCACCTTTCCACCTGGCTTCTGGCTCTGTTCTCTGCTCCCTGGCCCAGCAGTTTGCTCTGCCCGTCTAACCATCCAGAGAACGTAGTGGCAGCAAACGGGCATTTGTATTTCAGACGCCCGTGGGTGCTCGTTTCCTTTCCCCTCCCTTGGTTTTGTCCTCCCTCCCCTGCTGCATTTGGCCGGTGGGCCCCCTTTTTTTTGCCTCATCCACTGCCCTGTTTTTGCAGCTGTTTGCCCCCTTTCCCTTTGCTGCCTGCCCTGCCCATCCCCCTTCTACCGCCCTGTTTGCTCTGGTTTGCCCTGCTTTGTTTTCTGGTCCTTGATTGCTTTGTTTGTCCCATGGTGCAGGCGTGGTTGCCAGCCCCATTTCTCCCTCTTTTGGTTTGGTTGTTTTTGAACCCACCCTGTTCTTTTTTCCATGCCTGAGGCATATCTGATTTAGCCCTCCCCTGCATTCCGCCCCCCAAGCTTCTTGCCCTCCCTCCAGGTCAGCCCTTATTGCCTGTGTGCCCACGTTCTGCTGTTAGCGTTTGAGATTCCCCCCTTCCCCCCCCCCCGCTTTTTTCATTGTTTCCTTCACTGATGCACACTTTCCCATGATGTTTTGGTTTTTCCCTTCCTTTCCTTAGTGCCGCCGGGGGAGCCGGTTTCTTTTTCATCTTGTGCTGGAATTGTTCCTTGTCTTTTGTCCCTTTCTGTTGGCGCCCCTCCACCCTGCTTTCAGCCTAGCGGGTGGGGTGAGGTAACCGTTCTCCCCCCTCTCTCCTCCCCTTCCCTTCCCTTCCCTCCCACTCCTCCCTTCCATTTCCCTGCCCTAGTGGCCGTCCCCTTCCCTCCCTTTCTGTGGTGGGTGATTCAGGGGGTGGGACTTGCCTGGACGCCCCTGCAGTTCCCTTCCAGTCCCCCTCCCCATACCCTCCCTTGCGATGGCCGCCTTGACTGCCGCTGCCGGGCTGCCTGCCGTCGCTGCCATTGAGACACCGGCAGGAACGGATAGGGGCTCCCGAGACTCCGCTGCTGCCGTGACCTTGGCCGCCTCCACTTCTGAGACCGCTCCCTTGGCTGGTGGGAAGGGCTGGGGGATGAAAAAGGGCAAGGGCCCTGCCCGGAAGGTGAAACCCCCGGTGACAGTGGTTCCTCCTCCCGCTGCGGCCCTGTTAACAGCCACAGCTCCCCTTTCTCCCTTGCCCGTTGTTCCCTCCACCAGCTCTGGGGGTGCCACTCCCTCAATCCCCAGGGCGTACGCCTAGGTTGCTGCGACCCCTCCACTCGCCACCTCGCTGTCTGCTCCAGCCGCCTCCCAGAATGCCATTCCCGGTGGCCGGGGCCCCTTTCCCACCCTCACCAGGGAGCACGGGGTGCGTTGCCTCCTGGTGCCGGCCCCACCCCACGTAGAAACCTACATGCGGGTGTTGGCATGGGTGGTGGGGCCCACGGCCGTGGTGGCGGCCTCAAAGATGTTTGGGAAGGTGGTGTTCTTCCTGGCTTCGGAGGCCGCCGCCCAGGAGATGGTGGAGAGGGGCTTGGCGGTGGGGGGCATTCATGTCCCCCTCGAGCCTTTGGAGGACCTGGGCGTACAGGTGGTTTTCTCCTCTGTTCCTCTCTTCCTCCCCAATGCCACCCTTTTGCCGTTCCGCTCCACCCTGGGGAGGCCCCTGTCCGTCCTCAGCCCCCTTTCATTGGGCTGTAAGGTCTCCGCCCTCCGCCACGTTCTGTCATTCCGCTGGCAGGTGCAGGTTCAAGTTCCTCTAGCAGCATGTGGCGGGGAGGCTCTGGAGGGGTCCTTTCTCGTGCCCCATCGATGGGCCCAGTACCGGGTTTATTATTGTTCGGGGGTGGCCTGGTGCTTTCTCTGCCGGGCGACAGGGCACGTCCGCAGGGACTGCCCCCTGGCCCAGCTTGGAGGGGCATCTGGGACCCCCGATACCCGGAAGGGCGTCAGCTCTATTATTGGCGGCGGCCCTGATCGCCCGGTCCCTGGGGTCACCCCTCCTCCATCTGTGACCGTTGTCAACTCCG